GTGTGTGTAAATGAGTCTCTCTCTCTCTCTCTCTCTCTCTCTCTACGAGCAGTAAATCATCCCCGGAAAGGGGAAGGGGGGGAGAGGCGTAAATAACCAAGGACGAAACCAATTTTCAACGTATTCGTATCGATCGAAGAATACTTCTCCTGCCCCCTTCCATCGTTCCAAGTTGCAGCCGAATAAATCGAGCGAGATGGTTAATCGACAACCGCGTCTATCCCATACGAACTAGAAACGTTTGCCTTACGGCATTCCTCCATGCTTTTGAATTTCGTTTCCCATCCGATCTCGTTCACCCTTTTCACGGGATACGATCGTGTTGGATTATATTTTTATACGAAAAGTGGGGGATATTGTTTTTAGGAAAGTTACGATATACGAACCGAGGACGGCGAGCGTGATATCCCCTTCGAGGATGGTGGTATCGTTCCTCGCCTGACAGGAATATCGTCCCGCGTCAGAGGCTCTCACCTTCTGCGCGTAAATCGTCTGGTTCGCGCTCTCCGGATACAGGATGAAGTGGCTCTCGCCACCTGGCCAAGGATAGGCCCTGTTGTCCTTGTACCTGCAACCGACAATCGGCCAACCGATTATTACTCTCGAAGAGAAAAAGGGGAGACGGATGAATCTCGAGTCTCGTTTCTCGTCGAGAAATACAAAGGTTTAAAAATAACGTGCGAATATCGTCGCGTACGTTCGATAAATATGACAACGATCGATCTTCTTCGGTCAAATGTAAACCTCGTTTGCCTTCTTTACCTTTACCCACGAGGAAATCGTTATCTACTATATACGAGGATTCGATCGCGCGTGGAAAAATTATTTTTCTTCCTTTCTTCTTTTCGTCGCATCTTTCTTGCTCTCGATTCGGCGATCCGAATGATGGAGTCGATCGAAAGAATTTAATAAGCAACGAAATAATTTCGAAACGATCTTTTTATATATATATATATCTCTCTCTTTCTCGTTATTCGAACTTTCAACAAAAAAGAAAAAAAAAAATAAAGAAACGTTTGTTCTATAGAGATTTCGCCTCGAAAATTGGAATATCTCTATAAATGATTTCGGAGATCGATCGAACAAGAGTAATTTTTCACGCTCGTAAAAGCGTGAATAAATAAGAAAGGAATTGCGAGACGGGCAGGATACGCCGATTACGCGAGGAAGTCGAATCGATTTCGAGCCGTAGTAATTTTCCACTTTTCTGTTCGTAGAAACGATTAAGGAGAGGGAAGGGAGGGGGGAAAAAGCGAGAACAGTAGCACGTCGCGACGCTTCCACCGGTCATTCTTGTCCTCCGCTGCGTGTCCCACCACCTTCTTCTCGGAAAGTTCATCGCCACCGACACGCTTCGCTTTGCATCGATCCCCCTTTCATACGCTTTCATATTTATTTTTCCATCCACCGAGTGAAACGGTCGAAACTTGGTCCCATATGTATTACGAGAGAACGAGGGGGGGAAGAACGAGAAGATTCGATTCGAATCCTTCCCCTCGAGGGGAAATCGAATTAATTTTGCCGGGAACGCGTGGATATATCGAGGGGCAGGCAACGACGACGAAGAAGAGGGCACTTACACAGGCGTGTAATTAATTCTCGTGCTGGTGATTAAGGCTACCCCTTTGGGATTACCGAGATTGGTAATCAGTTCGAATTACGATTTCCCTCGAAATTATTATCGTAACAATGAAGCAAATTCACCGATTGAAAGAAATCTAAGGAATGCGGGTCCGATTGGCTAATGCGAAAAGAAACTACGACGATCTGTATCTAAACTTCGATGCATTAGAACTACATTAGAATTCAAAGAAAATTTTCTTATTTCTCATAGATATGAGTAAGTTAATTACGATTTGTTAACGATAGTTTAATTTACAAATATAATAGTTTGTTCGAGTAGTTAAGATAATAATCGTACAAATATATATCGATTTTATATATTTAAATTATATCTCTTCTACTATTATGTAGCGTCAAGTTGTGTGTGTTAAGTTTGTCAACAAAACGTTCGAAGTGGAAATAGGCGGTCCTAGCGAAGAACCCCTCTTGCCCCTGTGCCGTCCCGCAAGACTTTTTTCTAGCAAGTGAACAGTATACTGTTCATTGGTGGAAAGAAGTCTCGCAGAAGGGATCTGATTGGTCAATTCGGAAGGAAACGTTATTTTCACATGCATTCTTGGTTTCTACCGTGGTATTTGTCACATACACTAATCCAAAATGACCGATCTGTATCTAAATTTCGATACATTAGCAAAGCCATAGAATTCAAAGAACTTTTATTTCTCATGGATATGGTTAGTGCTGATTATCAATTTTTAACGATAGTTTAATACTTCGTATTCGAATAATTAAGATAATAATTATACAAATATACATCGATATGGATCGAAATAATTAATTATATAAATGAAAATAAACTTATATATTCGAATCGTAGCTCTTTCTACTTACTATACTAATATCTCAAGGCGATCCTAGCAAAGGTTCCTGCCTTCTTTACCAGCAGTGAATAATATTTATCCAGGGAGGCAGAAACAAATAGAATCGTGGAGAAGGAGCGAAGGATTTTAATAACCATCGTATATCCCTCCCCACCCTCGATGCCAAACCGACCGAATCGAGTTACCTCCCTTCCTCCCACCCTTCGTTTTCACGATGTTCATTCCCCAACGAGATCGATAGCCGGCCAGGAACCGTTAATCGACGACGAAACGGACACACATCGACGTCGATGGAAAAATGGAGCGACGACGGTCGCTGTTGGAAAAATTGGTCTCGCCTTTCTTCCTTCCTTTTCCCTTCCCCTTCCCTTTCCTTTTCCTTTTTCTTTTTTTCTCACACGAACGGAGGGAAGAAAGAAATTCGTTCCTTGTTTCTCGAAAGGGCGGAAAGCAGGACGAATAGCCGGTGCAAATTGTTCCCAAGAACGGGCCGGCAGAGAAACGAGCGCGTCGTTGTTCGCGCATTCGTCGTCGTCGTAGACGATAACAACGGAGTGCGAATTCGCGCGTACGTGCCGAGATAGAATTCCCCTGCCCCTCCCCGTCCCGCCTCGTTGCCGCTCTTCTCTCCTTCTCACGCTTCGTCGCGTTTCTTCTCGGAATAAAGCCGCCGCGCGACTCTCTCGTAACTCGAATCGAGCACGCGAACCGTACGAACGAAAATTAGCGTGCAACGATTTTTGGATTATTATTATTATTATTATTATTTCGAAAACAAGGAATCAAGGAATCGCAATCGAGATGTCGAGACAACGATTTCTTGGAAAAAGATGGATTATATACGGAGCCTCG